AGTCTGGCATGTAAATGCAACCACCGTAGACAGCACGTGCGTATTCAAAGTTAAAATAATTTGTTAGCTAATACAGTTCTTTGAAACTCTGTCCCCAGACAAGTCTGCTACTGGTGACATAAGAGTCGTGACAACACAACCAATGCTCATGAGAATTCATTCCAACACCGTGATCACGTCTTTTGTAAATATATTCAACAATGTTTAAAACTACATACCATGCATACAATAATGTCTGATAAATATTCTGTGTGTATTGGATAATGGGCAACATGCCGCACTTTATATTGGAAAATGTTCAATATGACAAGCTGTGTGTGTTTAATAATACACACCCTGTATTAGGAAATTTGTAATATTTCCTACCATGTATAATACAATAATTCAATAATGTTTAATGAGATAAAGATTGTATTACATAATGTATAATATGACCCAGCGTGTATTAGACAATGGTTAATGTGACACACCGTATAATAGGAAAAGTTTAATATATTGTAATGTTCAGCATGACCTAACATGTATTGAATAATGCTCGGTATGACCTGGACCCATGCAATAACGATTACTATTACCAATCATATTTACCCTAATGCTTCTAGGACCTACCGTGTTTGGTTAATCGCCATTGTGCTCAGTGCTCTATATTGCATTGTAAATCGTCAAGCATGAATTTCCTTGTTTTGAGTAAAGATATGATCAATGTATCCCATTCACTGTGTAAATCGTCAAGACGCCAAAATCAGAACAATACACTAACAAAAAATGCCCAAAGTTGCAGGATGGTAAAATTGACTTGACTTATCAATATATTTAAATATGACCGCCTGATGGTGTTGGCGGCGTTAAGGTGATCACGGACCCCGGCGCGTGGTCCCGAGGGATGGAGATGGGGGATTCTCATTGATGCCACACAGACGCCCAACAACTCTACAGCCTGCTGCTTTTGTCTTCCCCGCACATCAGCTTGATTAATAGCTCTATCAGCCTTATGAATATTTATCACTGTTTCATAAGATGAGTGATTCCTGCAATTGGCCCACACATAGGGAGTAACAGCGGCTTTCGCCCTACATCTCACAAAAACGCCGGACTAGTGATGATGTGAGACAGTCACAAACTATCGGACTTCGCGCAGCCATACAGCAGCAAGGCAAACATAGAAGAATCTGCATTGTTTGTCTTCATTTTATCTGGACTCTAACGCTAACTGCGGTGAAGATAAGATAAACACGGAAACTGATACAATGAGTAGCCATTTAAATAACTGACATCCCCCAATACAAAACCAAAATATCATACCAACACTACAACAATACGGCTCTCGTCTAATACTTCCCCTACCAACCACCACAACCATCAACCTCCCGTCCAATGTTTCCACTACCAACCACCACAACCATCAACTTCCCGTTCAACCATCAACTTCCCGTGCTTCCACTACCAACAACCACAACCATCAACTTCCCGTCCAATGCTTCCACTACCAGCCACCACAACCATCAACTTCCGTCCAAGTGTTTCCACTACCAACCACCACAACCATCAACTTCCCGTCCAGTGTTTCCACTACCAACAACCACAACCATCAACTTCCGTTCAATGTTTCCACTACCAACCACCACAACCATCAACTTCCCGTCCATGTTTCCACTACCAACCACCACAACCATCAACTTCCCGTCCAATGCTTCCACTACCAACCACCACAACCATCAACTTCCCGTCCAATGTTTCCACTACCAACCACCACAACCATCAACTTCCCGTCCAATGTTTCCACTACCAACCACCACAACCATCAACTTCCCGTCCAATGTTTCCACTACCAACCACCACAACCATCAACTTCCCATTCCAATGTTTCCACTACCAACCACCACAACCATCAACTTCCCGTCCAATGTTTCCACTTCCAACTCAACTTCCCAATCCACCACAACCATCAACTTCCCGTCCAGTGTTTCCACTACCCAACCATCAACCACCACCACAACCATCAACTTCCCTGTCCAATGTTTCCACTACCAACCACCACAACCATCAACTTCCCGTCCAGTGTTTCCACTACCAACCACCACAACCATCAACTTCCTGTCCAATGTTTCCACTACCAACCACCACAACCATCAACTTCCCGTCCAATGTTTCCACTACCAACCACCACAACCATCAACTTCCCGTCCAATGTTTCCACTACCAACCACCACAACCATCAACTTCCCGTCCAATGTTTCCACTACCAACCACCACAACCATCAACTTCCCGTCCAGTGTTTCCACTACCAACCACCACAACCATCAACTTCCCGTCCAATGTTTCCACTACCAACCACCACAACCATCAACTTCCCGTCCAATGTTTCCACTACCAACCACCACAACCATCAACTTCCCGTCCAGTGTTTCCACTACCAACCACCACAACCATGCCGCTTATACCCAATGCTTGTATTCCCAAACCCCACGACCATGGAGTAACTCAAAAGAAATGATATCATGTAATAATCTGGGCAGATATATACCACAGGGTAGCATACACGGTGCTGTTCATGGATAATTACCCAATCAGTGATGTCGTATTTCCTAAATGTGTAAAGAAATGCAAGTTACAAGCGACAATATCCGTTCTTGTAAATACTAAAGGATAACCTGAGTATATCAATGCTGCATCATGTTGGCACTCATGTATATCAATGATGCCGTTTGACATAGACAGGAGCAAAAGTATATCAAGGTTGAAGAACGCATGAGGCACTTTGCCAGTTATGTGAACACCGCAGGATGTATAACTTCACACTGCTCGAAAACGCGGCTGACAAAAATCGATGTTTAGAGCATTATTGTAAAAAAGGGCTGTCACACATTTGGTCTCGGATGAGCAGTGCTGGCTCGGAGATAGCGCGTGTTGCGACACGCAGGACCAACACAGTTGATAAAGGGGAAACTCACTTGCTAATGAAATAAATCAATTGGTGAAATCAAAAGAACTACTAGGATGCAGGATAGTGATTGTCCAGGCAGCTGAGAACAGCAGTGCCCGAGCATTGTCCGTGCTGGACGAGTGACTAAATACTGGCGTATTGCTCAAAACGTACAGTAGAGATTCGTATACCTTCGGCCCTTGGAAACATATGCTTTATAACTATAGCTGTCAGCCCATCTGTTTAGTACACCAAGGCCTTCGTCATGCAGCCTTGTTGTTTTGAGGTGTGCCATGTGTTTTGATGGTGTGTCTTGAAATATGAGATTATCGTAACGTTCCTTTAAGTACACTTTGTGTCTTGAAGCATATGGCGTTTCTTGAAGTATACGTTGTGTCTGGACGTGTATGGTGTGTCTTGAAGTTGATTCTTGACGTTGCATACTGAAGTGTATGATTTGTCTTGAAGTATACTTTGTCTTTACGTGTCTTGAAGTATACTTTGTCTTCACGTGTCTTGAAGTGTACTTTATGTGTTCACGTGTCTTGAAGTATACTTTGTTGCCTTGACGTTCTGTCTTGAAGTGGACGGAGAGGGTATAGTGAGATCATGTTTGAGCAGAGTGTGTCTAGGGTGGGCGGATACTGACATGGGTGAATCTCTTATCTATCATGACTGCCTATGGGCGGCCTTATAGTGTGGCTGGGAGAATAATTACACTACTAGTATTTCCCCTGTAAAGGCGAGGGACGTATTGTTCTGTGTACAACAGACTGTGTCATGGGGTACAAGATCCCTTCGTGAGAACCCTCGAGACTTGCATCACCCGATCCCGTGACTAACCTGTCCCCTGCGGTCGACCATGACCGTGTCGGCGTTGTCAAAGCCGTCGTGACGAACACACTACATTCCTTTAACATTTGTCAGGGGTTAGTGTTTCATAAGTCAAGACCTCTACCTTACACACAACAATATCAACACCATTACATAAACCCGTACGGAGGTCAACACAGCTCGGCTCATCTTCCTAGAAGAATAAACACCAATAATCAGTAAATCGTATGTTTTGCATGCCTACGATACACATCTGACAGATGGTATTCAGCAAAACATAGTCTGTGATCTCCGAGGACATATTGACGTGCATATACAGAAACTATCAATTTACTGAACATTTACTGAATAAATGTCAAAGGCTGCATACATTATATGTATGTATCTTGGTTATATCAGTTGACACGCGAGCCGATTAGCATATGATGGCTGGCTGTAAGAGAGATGGGACTGAAATAAGGAGATGTTTGATGGCACGAGATGGCCGGGGCTCATGAGTATATACTGCAAACTAGATATGTGAAGACCCATTACACAGTGGATATGGTACTTCTAGTAGTCATAGTAACTGGAGTTTTCGTCGCATTAGTAGTAGTAGTAGTAGTAGTAGTAGTAGTAGTAGTAGGAGTAGTAGTAGTAGTAGTAGTAGTAGTAGTAGGGGTGTAATGGTGGAAGTAGCAGCAGTAGTAGAGATGGTAGTGCTGGTTGTAGGACTTGTGGTGGTAGTTGTAGCAGCAGCATTAGTAGTAGCAGCAGCAATAGTAGCAGCAGCAGTAGTAGTAGTAGTAGTAGTAGTAGTAGTAGTAGTAGTAGTAGTAGTAGTGGCTGACGAAGTAATAGTCGTTGTAGTTAAATCAGGCGTTCTAATAGTACAATGCCATAGCACATGTTTAAATATTCAACAGCAACACTGGTGAAGCGGCACCGTAGATTCCCGCTTAATGCATGGGTTTAACACAGGAAGAATGATGCTGCATGCCTGGCAGAAGTGTTGAGAACTGTATACCCTCCCCTCTCCTCCCCACCCCACCCCACAACCACCTCTCTACACCACCCTCATCTTGACTGTAACAGCTGTAGGAGACACAGTATGTTGTGCCTCACCAACACCCGTCTCCGCACCGAGGGGCAGGAATAGAGTATTGATACCGGGTACAGATACTCGACACACACACACCTTTCCTGCATGCCCTACTCGCGTACACACCACTGATGCTATCAGCGACATGGTCGGCGTCTTACCTCTCCGTCTTTCTCCTCCTCATCCTCGTCGTCATCCTCCTCATCTTGCACCGACATGTACGACGGGTGCCGGAAGCCATGGCTACCCAGAGAAGACACACTCCCGGCGTACGGCATTATCCCAGTTGGGGCAGGTATCCACCCAGACAGGACCTACATATGCACCCCCAGGAGCTCAAGCACAGACGCTCCATCCAAGGTCAGAACCACAGGCAAATGAATTGGAGCTCCACTGGCTTCTCTCCCCACATCCTGGTATTGATCCAAGAGTACCGCCAGGAGTCGCTTACTCCGCTTACCGTTTGCGTCTAAGGAACCAGCTCATTCACTGGCACTGGCTGAAGCAGACGACATAAGATGTTGGTGCCCACTAAGTTAAGAGAAATTGATGGCAGTATAAGGACGCAAATATTGGAAGAAGCGGGTCGTATTCGTTCTTGAGAGTTACTGCAATGGCGATCCCTGTTTGTCTGATCACATGGGTCCTCAATTTGACTTTCAATGGCGTTGTTGTGACTGATCGTAATTACCCCATATGTACCCACGCTAGCTACAGTGGGCCACCCAGCACAACCTACAGTCTGGCGGCTGTGTGAAGGCTGTCGACGCTTCAATCCAATCTCGGTATCGATTGATTTGGCCGTGCGATAGACTTAGCATGGAAGACGCGGCAGAAACAGACTCTCCAGAATTGACGTGTTTCCTCCAATAACGATGTGGTATTGTACACGTGTCATCTCATCCATGGCGCCAAACAGTAATGGTATTATGTATAACGGTCTTTGTGATGAGCTAAATATCCCAGTGGGTCGACACTAACTGAGCGGTCTTAGAGAAACAGAGAATAAAGATGCAATGCTCTATACCATCAGCATCATGTTCCTCGCTGAGAACACATAGTATCGGATCAATGAAGGCACCTCAGTAGTAGACTGATTATACGGTTGACTAGAGCATGAGACGTTTTCTTCAATATGTGCATTTATCTCATGGCAAACAAATGTGCGTTTAACGTTAACTCTAAGCTCTCCGGTTCTTGGGGCGGGTGGGTTCAAGATGTGTTGGTATGTAAGACAGCCAAAACCTTCAGATATATATTAACGTTAGTTACGTCGTCACGGATTACCAAGTACGTTGTGTTCCTGTGTGTATCTGCTAACATGGGGAGTGGAGATACGCAGAGAAGATTAAATACACCTTCAGTTTGGTTATTTTTGTTCTTAAAATAGCTTTAAACTGGTGCGTAGGTTCCGAGACCAATAACATGTAACTGATATGATATTAGCAGTGCACACGTGGTCTGTTGTTACCATCAAGGTGTATCGGGTCAAGCCTTAAAGGGCGAGTCCAGGCCCCGATTTCTCGAAACAAACTTAAGTTTTTACTCAAATTTCAAACTGAGTTTGACAATTTGAAACAGCTGAATTTTTAACTCAACTGCATTTTTAAAATAAAAAAGCCCGAAGAACTTAAGTAATCCATCCACCAAACTCAAATTGTCTAGTATGTTTGAGTTTAATATCGATTTCAGTTCATTCTGCTAAATGCATTTTCCCTATTGGAGTAAAACTCGAACTTAAGTCAAAACTCAGACTTAAGTTTGTTTCGAGGAAATCGGGTCTGGTGGTCCTAACAACGTCTAATCAAGTCGTTATTCACCTACTTTCTCAGTTGTAATCAGTCTTTAATTTGTTGTTTTTTCAGCATTTTATGATCATTTAGCGACAAAACATGGCCGCAAAGCCAGAAACCTTTGATCGTGGTTTCAAATCCCAGATTGATCTGAGTATGTGTCTGTGTTTGTCAACACCAAACCCGTCAATGTGAGTTTCACCAAGGGTAAACGTCAAAGACCTGTATCACGTTTGGCACTCCGCTGACGTCAACCTGAAATAGCTGGATATAACTGATATACTGTTCAACGGTGAGCTAAACTTCCGGCCTTGCCTCACTCACACATAGATAAGGCTTTAAGTAAGACCAATGAACCATTCTGCTGAAGTGCTTGTTAGCATACTGGGCATTCAGGTGTTCCCTGCACTGCTTATCTGGATAAACAGCCTTTGGCTCTCTTTAGAGCGCATTTCGCCAAGAAGCATGCTTGAAGTTCTTGGAGCATGCATATTCAATACACTCCAACACATCACTATACAGACCCAATCAAATGTCAGGTGACCTTATTGATACGTGTTCACATATCTTAAGGTAAACATGGGATACACGGATCATATGCCTTTGATCCAATTCGATTAGTACACAGAGCAAAACAAATTCAGACTATGAGTTTCACATCGGTGCAGGTGAACGATCATTAATGTCCTGCTGTTTAAATCTACTTCGGAACATGCTCATGGTTTATTGTTTGTTTTTATCAAATTTATTAATTTCCTGTCAACTATATCACCGAAATGTTTTCACTCCAAGTTGTGAACAGTTGTGATCAACTATCACTTTTAGAAAAAAAATATTCATCTTTATATCAGTTTTATAATCCTGCAAATGACATGTCCAAATTACAGAGGTAGCACACACGACGTTGCTCAACAGCAGCAATGTGCCGAAGGAAAATAGTACCTGAAATACTAGACCTTACATTCACGACAGTTGCCTCAGGGGGTACAGTGTGTGTGAACTTCACAGGTTACACACTCGAACCCACCCACCTGCTCTTTAACAATATTTGGATTATAGTCAAAAGTGGAATTGACACTTACATAGACGCCTTGACAGTACTAAAGATGACTAAACTACCGGGTCTAAGGCTGTAATCAACATACCAGAGTATACGGTCGTACTCCAACTACTGTGGCGTTGGCATGGGATCTCAGTACAACCCGTGACCCTGAAAGGTCAGATAACGGTAAACTAGACATAGACATAATGTGAATCCAAGTGCAAAATCAAATTAGGTAGATTTAGATAGTAATCATTCCTCGTGTGCTTCCCTTTATCCTAGTATATAACTACAATAAACGGATACCACAGATTATGATAAAGTTGAATAGCCTGTCTGCACGTATAGTGTTTCGCTGTAGCTTTAAGTGTTTGGTTGTATACTTCCAGGTGATCCGGTCTTGATATGGGGGAGCTGGTTTGATACAGAGATACTTTATCATTTCTGCGTAGGTTTGCTGTTAAAATTTACATTCGAAAACTCTATTCTTTAAGTAAATATTTTGGTTAGTATGCAGTTTCACATACACATAATCCCCCTTTTGTCCTGAAGGTTTATTAAATGACCATTGACCAACTCTCGAGTAAACGGATGAAAATGAAGTGTAAGTATCATCTAAAAGACAACAAAATGATTCCTAGACATATTTTACTTCCCCTAAACTGAACCGTGTGGCAGAGCGACAACTGGTATACATGTAATGCCGATACAAGATAATCCATTCAAGGTCTGAGAAAAGCTAACCAGCAATCTATATGAAATATGGCATTATCTTGTCTGGCTAACTCTGAAGTATCACAGCTGGTGAATCATATGATGTATAACTTAAATCTAAGCTACAGAACCATTGCATAACAATTACGGTATCTCCACGGTACGGTCGAGTTCTTTAGCATTCCAATACATATGGAATATTCCAATACACATGTATATGACTGACCGCAAGATTTAATACGCGTTAAGATGTGTTAATACATGTGTTCACTGGTTCGTGAGTGCTGTACCAGCAGACCTATGACAAATATTTCTCATCCATCCTTATGTATACTCGAGAAATGACCAACTGGATTACACCAGGGCTCGGGGACATTCAGGGTTTTTGCAACGAGGTAATTAATTTAATTTTGTAAGTGCTGATCTCCAATTTCCAGATGCGAGACGTGGTTAGCTATACAATGTATGCATCTCCCGACCACATAAATATGAAGGACCCCAGTGACAGATAAATGGAACTGTGCCATATGTAGACGCTCCGCAATACTTTGACATGTGATCACCCTTCCATTGGCAACAACGGTCAACAGGCGGCTTTATCTGAAACTGTTGCAATATCAATTAGTAAGATACGGAATACATATTTGATAACCATTTTCCCAGAGACAGTAATAGCTTCAACTTCAGATGAAGTTCGAATTTAAAAAATTCAAATTTCAAGCACAAATTTAAACAGGCTACATTAATACTGAGTCTCTGAATGTATATTATTTTGATTTACTTATTCCATATAAATTGAAAAGGAGCCCAAGTGAGTTGGGAGATTCATACCCCGAGAAAATCTAGACTTGCTTCATTTTGGGCTTTAGCATTGCAGAAAGGGCTGGACAGAGGGAATGTGGTTCAGCGACTGTGAGTCAGACTGGACACAAGCAGGGGGAGGCGAGTATATATATACACGTCTACTTAATCAGTTATTCATAGTAGCATTACATCATGTTGTTGGGTTTTTTAAAATTAATAGCAGTTATTTATAAGAATATTTGTAATTCTAATACAAAATTTATGTTCAGGATGACATTTAGAGCAGAAACATCTAATCCATCTGCCCTTCTCAAGTGGAAATATCAGGACATGAATATGGCGCAATCAACTTTACGTGTGGGTAAATGTATGCCTGCCTTGTGAAACGGCGCCCAGAGAATGTCTACATTGTGTTGGAGAAACTCCTACATGACCACAGCTATGAAGCTACCATTTGTGTGAAATCAGGAACAGAGCCATGCAGGATTCGAACCTTGTTTCGGCAGTTCCTTACATGACAGGGTCACTGAAAATTGAATCTCCCCACCCCTCCCCTCCTCGTCTCCCCCACAGGAGCACTCAGATTGGTTTCTGTGTTCATGAGCTCTTCATGGATGATGTGCAATGTGTAATGTACAATGTTTGAGTGTCATTGTGATTCAACGACATGTGTACGTCAACCTTGGCTTCATTCAAAACATCAGTTGCTGTAGTTACCATGCACTGTTAATGCGTAAGGAGATTCCTGAGAACACCATGTGTCACATTGCCATGACATACTTGTGTATTGAATCGTTGAATCGTCCCTGGAGATTACACACGAGTTATCGACATTTTCTCACAAGGCACGGAGGTCTGGCTGTGGGTATGTCATGACCTAACGTGTCGGCCATCTTCCAAATACCTGGCGGATTTGATATAATCTGTAGAAGGGGTCAATCTTGTCAGTGTTAGGTACAGGTGGTTAACGTATAAAAGTAAATAATACAGTACAACCAGAAATTATTGAGAATTTAAAGATTGTAATTTTAAAAAAATTCACTCATTACTCACGTATTAAATGTGAATATTAGCAGAAAATAACTCCAGATTCAAAGACAGGTGAACAGTTAGTATTTTGTCAAGTCACCATGGGCAGCAATGCTGGCTTCAATGCGGCGGGGCATACTACTGATCAAAGAAGGTAGAAAGTCGTGGTCCATGCTGTCCCAATATCGGACCACCTCTTCTTTCATTTCAGCAATATGTGTCCGAAACCATGCCTGTGAATGCTTTGAACGATGTTTTGGGTCGTTGTCCTGCTGGATGGCCTACAATCTGCGTCGTCAGGGGTCTGTGGAGAGATGTGAAAGACATGCTCATTGCCTGGCTAGCTGTGGCATTGCCACAAGACTGACATTTGTGTAATTTCAGAAGAATTCCAGTCATCATAGTGGCATCGAAAGAACACCATTTGCTGCCCTTCTAGGATCGGCCTGATATCCTCTTGTCTTCTACGAGAAGTCCTCTCCAAGTTGCAGACTGAAGATGATCTCCTGAACGCTCTGTCTTCTGAGACTCCATCAGCCGACGAAGAGGAAGTCTCCAGCAGTTCAGCTGATGGTGAAGATGTCCCTTTTGTGACAGAACAGATTGACGAACAAACCCAACAGATTCAAGTACAGCAAAAGAGCAGCTGAATCCCAACTCAAACAGGCCGAGAGAATGGTACAAAGAAGGTTGACATTGGTGACAATGTGACCGTGCCAGTTCCAG